TTCAATGTTCGACTCTCCGGAATCTCTACGACTTCCAATATTCGGCCCCCACAATTGCCCCCCAAGCACTCCACTAACGACAGTTGGCTGGAATGTTTGGTTTTGAACTCGAAGAGTCAGAGCCAAAATTCGGTGGCTGACCGTATTCCAACGCAAATGTCTGTACACACGCTTCCCGGTTATCATTTCAACTTCCCGCCTCTTCGTACATTTCTATTTATTGTGATTTAAAATTTCGACGTCTTTTCAAATAGATACAAGCTTTTAGACGCCCGTTGCTGGATTGCCTTCCTCTGTGCCCTCCTACCCTCCTACCCTTCTCTACCTCTTTCGCCACTTGTAAGTTCTCTCCTTCTTTGCTTTATTTTTTGGCTTAGCATAATCATATTGGCTGGGGAGAATGGCGAAACATTTAAAAGATCTCCTCTCACCGGATCGAATTTCTGGCTTCTGACACCATTTTTCCATCCCCGATGACATCCGTTTGTCTTTTGTGGCAGACGGCACCCTTGATATGGAGAGGGTTGATGAAAACACCATCGTCTTCCCTCTTCTATCAACCGCGGGGTCCGTTTCCCCCTTCACCCACTCCTTAGGGCCGTGCTTTGCTATTGGGAGTTAATCCCTTCGCAGCCCAACGTCAATTTCTTTAGGGTTGTGATGGGGATTGTCGTACTAAACCACCGCCTTGGGCTTAACCTTGGCATCCTCGCTATTCGTCATTGCTACGCCTTGACCAAGTCTTCTGGTCGGCATGGGCGTTATTTCCTTAGGGCCAAAGACACCGACCATCAACTAGTGACTATGCTTTCCAGCTCTGGGAAGCGAGTCGATGATGTTATGGTCGTCGTCCAAGGAAACTGGGAATTCAGCAAAGGTGAGGATCGCCTTGATCGTATTCCTAGACAGAGGGGTGAACCAGGTGGCCGAGTATCTTCTTTTATTTATTTACTTGTTATATTTATAAAACTTTATTTTTGGGACCCCATGGTTTTGCTTTTGTAGGAAACGATTTGAAGAAGTCTTGATCTCGACCAACGACTCCGTCCTTTCGAAAATCAAGACTGCACTCAAGTATTTCGGCCGACCGAGTCTTCAGAAGCAGGAGAGGGCGGCCCACGTTCTGCTCTGCTACTAGCCGACTTATACGACTTTTTTGGCGGCAGAAAACATCTCAATTCCAGAGGGTGAGGAGTCTCTTATCGCCCTTATCTTGACTGATATCAGAAATTTGAGGCAAGTCAGTTGTGAGGGATCATATTCGGAGCGACAGGAAGTAGCTGAGGCCGCCGAGTCAAACCAATCCGAAACTGAGGCTGACGAGGCCTTGAAGTTAGCATTTGAAGAAGCCGGCCTCAATTCGGTTGATCCTCCGTCCACTTCGGGTCGAGAGGACCGTCCGCTCGACGATATTTTTCACAGTCTGGAGGACCTTCCCTGCGCGTTCCTAGAAGATATGGCTGGGTTGAGCCTCACTAAACTTGCCAAGAAGGCAAACGCGGAAAGGATGGCCGCGCGGCGAAGGGCGGAGGAGATTCGGGCTGTCGAATCTCAGTCCCAGACCTCCTTGCCTGTTATTAAGGGGACGACAAGGAACGGAAGTTCCGAGGTAGAACCTTTTGTGCAGGCAAGTGTAGAAGCTGAGCAAAGGGTGGAGAAACGCCCTGCCGACGTCGAGGCTGGCTCAGAAGAAGACCGTGCCGATAAACGACCTCGTTTGAAAGAGTCGGATGTGATTGTACCTTTTGTTATTCAGCCCAAGATAAAAAATACACTGATCTCCTCCGATGCTTCGGTAATCAAAGATCCAGCGGTTGTACTCAGCTTGGCGACATCCATTTCACTGCCTGCTGACATGGCGACTTTTCGGGCAGAGCCTGATCTGGTTGCAATTGGGTTGGTCGCGTAATCGGCTCTTTTGGTATATATCTGGACTCTGTCTTTTCTCTTTACGCAAATATTATTTTGTTCTTGACTTCCTGTTTTGCAGGCCGTCGGGAGGATAGCCGACATGAGCCGTCGCTATCAAGATGCCGTCGAG